GAGATTACCACAGAGGGCAAGAGAAGAAAACTTGACAAAACTCTGGCAGAAAAAGAGAACACTGAGTAAGTTCTGCTTTGTGTCATGTGAGGTATGAGGGAATTAAACTTTTCCAACAGCTGAAAGCAAAATCAAAAGAAAACACTTTCAAAAGAAAGTACACTGGAAACCCATTTCTCTGGGTATCTGGCAGTCAATACGCCTGTGAAAAAGAAATGTCAGCTCAGTTTTACACAATCTACTGAACATACAAGAGTTATAAATGAAACACTTTTTAAAACCTGCTACTTTTCAATACCACGTGCCATACTTGCTTGGCTTTCAGTCTGTAAGATATCAGCTGCCTCAGACTAGGGAGCTGTTATGCCAACAGAGAGCAGCTCTTACCCCTGAGACATGCATTCCCCCAAACCTCCAGCAGCCCACCCCTTTTACACTCAAGGCTGTACAACCTGAAAGACAAATAAGCAATACTGAATCTCTCTCTGTCTCACACACATTCCTATGGGCGTGCAGTTTCCAAAGCAAAGATTCAATGACTTGAAGACACAAAGCTACAGGAAGGAAACTTGTCTACTGTCTCCAGTAGAAAAATTCTGTCTTGAATCCCACTACAGTAGATGAGCAAGAAATTAGGGGGATATAGAAATAAACTCAAACACAAGAAGATGACTGTTTCCAAGAGTAATTGCTTACCCAAGCAGTCATAAAGAGACTGACATTACTGTTACCAAGGTCTATGAAAGTAATCATTTTAGCTTACCTGTAAACTGAATATAAAATAGCCACTAACACTTTGTTCTGCAATCACATCCTCCATGGTGCGCAAGGTAGTGCCCAAGTATGAGTTCAGGAGCTGAGTAGGAAGGAGCCCAACTGAAGAAGCCATCAGGTAGTTGGGTAGTGACAAATCTGTAATCTAAGTAAAAGACAGCGTAAGAAATAGAGCACAGTTCCAACACAATCTACATGCACAAACAACCAGACTGCTGCTCCCACAACCATCCATGCAAGACAATGAAAGAATTTCTTACATTCCGTCACTGAAACTTTCCACTGTGTGTGAATCTAAGATAACACAATAAAACAGTATGTGGCTAGTTTTCATCTGGCCTTTTGAAAGTTACTAGGTTACATCTCATTTCTTCTCACATTACGCAACACCTCTATGCAAAAGTCATTAACTAAGGATGCAATTACACTGTTCATTGAAGATGTTTATTTCTTCATGGTGAACGGACCCCTACAATTTATGAGAATTTGCTTGCAGGAAGAAATTACTTTATCAAATGTGAAGAGCAAAAATCTATTTGCTTTGCTTTTTACATGTATGGCAACTAATAAAAGAGGCAATTGTTCAAAATGTGACTCTATTAAATATGATCTAGGTAAACACAATGGCAGATACAATTGGCCTCTGCAAGGGAAGTTAAATACTCATTAAGACACATTATCTATCAGTGACCTCTAGCAGCAATATCTATCTATCTATATCAGCGACATATATGGGTATCTTTAAGATATTTTATATCACACCTTAATTAGTGAATAAAACAGTGCACAGGGCTGTAGCTTTTGTTAGTTTCTCTGGAAAAAAAAACACTAATAATACTTGAAGATATTTTCCTCTCTTTGCTGTGAAATTTCTGTTCTGAGTCAATACGTGGACAGTTTACATGGGAACAAAGTATACAGTACTAGCTAAATTAGTATCAGCAGCCACTGGGAAATATTAAATGCAAGAGCCAAGACGCCAAAAGGTATTTACGCGAGAAAAATGAAAGCAGGAGGAAACTATGGGTTAAAAATGAGTATGAAAAGGGCAATTTTGAAACAAGCAGTCTAAGGAATTTTCCAGACAATTCAGTTGATCACATAGTAATAAAACAAGTTCTAATTAAGAACAGCCCCTAACACTGGGAGCCTACATGGAAATTATTGACCTTGACAGTTTTGTACAATGTCGAAGAAAAGAGAATAGCAGCAAAGTTACTCATTTCATCATGCTATTCTTAAAATAAACTTTGGTTACTATGAAAGTGGCAGTGCTGAATTCTCAGAGCTCTAAGCACCATCAGTGGAAAGTTTTTGGGAGGAAGGAAGGGCATTGGAAGAGGAGAATGCAATGAAGCACAACAATTAAGAATAATTCACTGGAACAAGATCCAATAAGCCAATTCCAAACTCCACACTGCAAATTACACTTCCCAGACTGAAATATATATGAGCAACACAAATAATACATTTCCCTCTCTATACAAGATTAATTTAGATTTCTAATGAAAAAGCACTACATGATTATGTCAGAACTTCATATTTGACTGATGCTTTGAAAAGACTTTTTTTCTTTTATTTTAAACATCATAGTAATCTGGGCCACGTAATAATAATGCACAACCGAAACTTCCCATATTGTCAAGGGAATGAAGAAACTTCTATTAAAAGTCTCTGAAATACTAACGCTGAGGCAAGATTTGCTAAATAGGACACTGTCATTAAATCTAATGGAGCTGGGAAACTTCCCAAAGATTGTTTTAACACTCCCAGGCACCTCTTTCATTTCTGTATATGTATGAAGGACACTTTGGTTGCAGAGCAACACATCTGCATGCCTGGATCTGTCCTGAAGCAACTGGACCTCCTGGGCCATGAGAGAGACTGCTTCCAAACGAAGGGGAGGCTGCCAATGGACACGCTGGACTGAGATTTGTGCTTCCCACTAAAATGAAAGTCAAGGAGAGGAGGGAAAAAAAAGTTTGCAGGTGCCCTTTTTAACTCCTGGTTTGCAGGGTTTAGACCTAGGTGGTATCCCTTCCCCTAGAAGGCACAGGAAGAGGACGGCATCCCTACCTAAGAAACCTGAGAAATTTTCAATAAAACTTACAGCTTTCCATGTCTTTCCTTCTATGAAACTTTACCTGTTCTAGAAACCCGCCAGACTGGGCTCTGCATGGCCAAGCTGCCAGAGGCTACCAGGACTCTTTCTATGGAACGCTCAAGCCAGCAAAAATGAACAGTGAAATCCCAACACAAGCACAGATGCAATTGTTATAGGCCATACTAACATATTAAAATAAAATTAAGAACTACCTAACCACTCCGGTAACAAGAGCGTTAGCCAGAAATTCTCTCACTAAGCCTTGAACAGGCTTTGTCTAGCAAAACTTCTGCATATTCTTTGCAGCTGACACCTTTGGTTCAGTCCTGTCAAAGAATAAACGCTTGTGTCAGGACTTTGTTGGGGGCTCACATGCCTTTGGGCATTGCAGCAGATTTCTCTCCCCTCAGCTTACGAAATCCTGTGTTTCAGATCAGGCAGGCTTAGCAACCGAGAGCAAAAGACAATTCTGATGCTCTTTGGCAAAAGAAAAACCCAAACCAAAACCCACCAGGTAGAGAATAAAAAAACAAAACAAAAAATAGCTAGCAACTTTGCAACAAGCAGAGTAAAGAGCCTGCATGTTCCTGCAAAGCAGGTACCATTGCTTGAACTCTGATTTCACTGTGTCCATTTCTCGAACCAGAGAGGCACACTTGGACACATTATTTCTTCCATACAATACTCCTCTCAAAGGAAGGAGAAAGAAGAAATATGAATTCTGATCTAAGCTCCACCTGGCACCACAAATAATCAGTCTGCACAAACCTAGCTCCAGGGACCCAGTAGTGGGAACGAGGTGATAACCTGCATACCGGGCCTCCTGACAGACCTGCCTTCAAAACACTCCAAGTTGCCAAGGGGAGAGGGCTGTGCGTGGGCAAACACTTCAGTAAGAGCTATCGGGCCACCCCAGTGGCCCAGGCCACCCTGGCATCACAGCAGCAACAATTAAGCAAAACCCACTCAAAGAGAAATACAAACATGCTTTCAGTTAAGAAGTTTCTAGTCTTCCAGAAAGGCAAGTAAATGCATTACCTCAGAGCTCTTACGCTCAGTGCTTTGCCAAAGAGCAGCTGAATGACCTTATGAAGCAAGCTGTTCATGTCTGGCTGGTGAGAAACTAAGAAATTCCTGTTACTTTTCTTCTTGTGCTGTTGCAGATAATGTGATCCTACCACTAATCATATGCCAGGAAGCTCTTCCTTCCCTCTGTACATTCCCCTGCAACTCAACCTTCCCCAAACCCTCAGCAGATGGCACACACCACTGAACAAGTGCTCGTAGAAACCCATTAATCCCAGCCCTGCAGATGACCCCTCTCACATCACGGCTATGCCTTGTCCTGGACCTCATGTGTCACTCACTTCCCTCCCTCTCACTTAACTAGTCTCACTATCTCCAGTTTACTTATAAATACACACATGGAACACATGCATAGACCAGACTGCTGGAAAATTAAAGATGCGTAGTTTTTTGTAAGTTCACTGTTCTTTCCTCTACTATTAAGAGTGATCCTTTTCAAACTCATTGCTGAAGTTGCTAGCATGGGGAATGGCTAGATGGTTAGGGCACCCCAAATCTCCTTGCATTTTAAACCTAAGTAGAACATTAAGTTTTCAAGTAAGTCAGATTTCAAAGAAATGACAGCTCGGTCTGTGTAGGCAGAATTTTGTGTTCTACACGTAGCTTAAACTTGACTCACAGTGAGAAACTGCCTTGAATTCCCAGATTTGCATGCAACGTTTTTATTTTTCAGTCATCTAGTAGTTCGTACTAAATGCTCTCTGCTAAAAATTGAACATACCGTACTTTTATTTGACTATGCTGCAAAGTAATAAATCCAGTGTAATAAATACAACCCAAACTAATTTTAGCAGGCAACACCCAAGTTATTTGGCATCCTCAAGAATCTGGTTTCATCTCATTTCCTATCTGTTATTTTAACACTGAACCCTTCCACTTGGAAAGAAAATTATTTACCTTGCAGTACTCAAGAGAATACAAAACACTGATTTACAGCATCATTTTAATATTGCACTGGCCTGAATACTCTGCCAAATTGTGTTTCCAACAGAATGGTTATGCCAGGAAGGCAATCATTTTAGCTCGGTAATTCTCTGGTCAGTTCTTCAGATCCAATACTGCTCTACAACATCTGCTGACTACTTCAAGTGACACTCAGAAGCTGTGAACAACTGAAGCACAACAGCCCTCCCCACTTCAGGAGGGTCACACTACAGCAGAAGCTTCATCTGCTACACTGGGACCCTGGGCTGGGGGGGGACACTGCTCCCAGCGGCACGGGTCTAAGCTTCCTCAGTTTTGCAGTAATATAGGTAAATAAATAAAACAGCTGAGGTTCTTCTCATTCCTAACAAGGAAACAGTTAAAGGATCTGCTTAAAAAGAAATGGTAAGTTGCTACAGCTTTTATGCGCAGAGATTGCAGCTCTGCAGACAAATGCCCCAGCAGACACAGTTTTATACACAGCAATTTTACATATCTGATGTGGGTGTTAACCCCTAAAAATTGCGTGGATTAATCTTTTTCTTAAGCAACAAATTTGGTATTCAGTGACCTACTCATTTCAACCAGATGATTCTGTCAAAATTAAGCAAGCACTTCAGAAGGCTACAGGATCAGGACTGCCAACGGGGGACGGAAAGCGTGCTACAAGAAAGCGGCACACAAAACACTTGTTTACAGGGGCTCTGACATTAAAGAATATAGGAGTTACTGTTAAACAAAGTATTCCACAGTTTGGTTTGCTTTGTTTTGATTTCACCAAGTTAACAGACACAACTAAGGCATAACACAGCCAAAACCAGATCCTTCAGACAAAGCACTCGGGAAGAGCTGAGGGTCTGAGACCCTCATCACCAGCACGATGGTGCTCAAAAGCGGTACCCTCTATGTTCTCCTTTAAGATGATCAAAGAGAACAGTAAGAGCATAAGTTTTAAATAATTATTCTTAAACACTGTACCAATATTCATTTAAAAGTGGAAAGAAAAGCAAGTCCAACCCTCTTCAAACTCAAGTTTAAATTAACTTCCAGTACCGTTCCAGTGTACCAAGTCCCTTTTCAGGTCTAAGCCTACATCTTAATGCTCTGCCCAAAATGCACGACCTCTCTTTTAAGCACGGACTTGACACTCTGTGGATTTGCTAGATGTATGCTACAAACATCAACCAAACTGAGCAAGAATTTTTATCTGTCCACTTCTTTCTTTCCAGTACAGTTATTTATATTAAGTAGTTGAGGGAGAACTGGCAAGACTGCTTTAAAAATACAAACTTCCCTCCCACTCAGATCACTTTAAAAACCCAAGCACTTTAAAACCGCCGAGTTCTCCGTAGATTTTGCTACGCAGCTCCTTGGCGCTTCCTTCTAACAGCGGAATACAGTCTCGAAAACCAGGGAGCAACCCTAACGCAAGGCCACTGAACACGGCCCCTTGAGAACCTGCCTGCCCTCCCTCCGCCAGCACAGAAGACCCACTGGCGAGAGCAGGCATGGCGGTGCTTTTGCTGCTGTTAAGAGAAAGAAACCGAAGTTTCTTCCAGGGAAGGGAGGCCACCTCCTTCCAGCC